GTTTGAAAGCTCTTAAGGCAGATTGCTTACTACCTATTGAGGGCCTTACTACCTAACTAATAGAATGGTATTTGCGGTAGTCCGAGTAGCTAGCCTTGAAGGAAGACGGACAACATAGACCAAGCACTCTTCGTAAACCAATTTCACTTCTCTCTTTTTGATTCCTTTTGGCATTGTTTTTTTTTTCATATAAGTATCTGTGAAAGATATGGAGCACCTCTTTTGATTAATGAATTTTTCACTTACTGAAAAAAAAAAAGTTAGTCTGGCATTTCTACAAAGGTTTTCCTATGCACAATCCAAATTTGCCACCTATATAGGTAAACTTCACGAAAAAGCATAAAGTTTAGATTTAGTATGTTTTTGAATATAATTGGCTCTCCCATAGCCTTTGGGTATCTAGTAGTTTAAAGAATCTTCAATATGATCTACTGGACATTTATTCATACATCAGTAGCTATGAATATGAGAATGTTGATCAAGATGCTTATAAGAAACTAATTTCACCAAGTCGAGACCATTTCTCAAATAAGAAGTTATGATTATTTCTTTTATTCTATTTCCTCCACAATTCTTTTTCGGAAGGTCTATTTCCTTACAATTCTACATGCATAAAGAAGGTTGGTTTTTATAATATCAGCTACAATTTTCCAAATTGAGGGAATTTTGTAAAATAGGCAATGCCAAAAGGGAAGATGGTCTACCCAAGTCATTTTCTTTCACAATAACAGAAGCACACAACCCTTATGTCTTTCTTGGCATCATGTATATTCTTTCTTAAAATTATATTTTCATGGCAGCAACAGGTTTATAGCTACAACATAAACAAGCAATAGTCAAAGGAAGTCATATAATTATGAAACTCTCGACCAACTCCTTATTGAAAACTGTTGCAATTTTTTTTCTCTGTTTTGTGTAATTTTTTTTTAATTATTGGCCAGAACATATTTCCTATTTTATTACTGCTTAGTATTTGTCTTGGTCAATTCTTAAATTGATAGTGTTGACTTTCTCCCTTCGCATCATGGCATATTGATTTTATTTTCGTTATTTAGCTCNGAAAACTTTAAACAACTGGGCATGGATAAATATAGTTTGTAAAGAAATTCCCATTAAAATAGTGCAAAAATAGGAAATAATTTCCTATATCAAACGTACATGTCCAATGTGCATAAAGAAATTTTCCAAATAAATTTTTCATTGTGGCAAACTACATATTAAGCCACGGGTTCAGAAAGCCACTCACTCACAAATTGTATTGTTTCTAATCTATCTTTGATACTAAAAAGATTTGTTATATAGAATTGAATTTCATATTTGAGTAACACTCTAATTTTATTTTATTACCAACCAGCTGCCCAATAATGTGTTATGCGATTTTTGGATTCTTTTCTCCACTTTTTTTTTTCCATACACATTATTTAGAAAAACTTATTAATTAAACTACCTACCCATGCATGTGATTAGCAGTGTGGAACTCACTCTCGATGTGGATAGACATTATTTTTTCACTACTTAGATGGTCTTGATATAAAGTACGTAAAAAATCAATCACGAGATTTACCTCCATTGCACATCATACTATCTTTCTTTTTGTGTTGCACCTTTCATAGACATGATAAATCAAGAATATCCGAAACCTGAAAACCTTCATTGACCTTTGCAGTTGAAATTCCTTGACCTGCAATTTGTAAAAATATGCTATCATATTTAAAGAACATACTCAAAAGAGTGAGGAATAAAGATTTGTTCTTGTATGAATATAGCGTATATAGAAAGAGATCAATTATCGGTGAAAAAGATTCAATAATGGATGTGAAAAGAAATCAACTTTTTCTTTAATTTGATGATAGAGAACGGAGGACAATAGTCACAGATGAGAGATAGGGCAAATAGAAATGATGGTGAGATGTAATAATATCAACAAATATATTCAATTCAATGATAATATATGCATACATCATGGCATTCTATTATAAGTTATCATTTTCCAAGTATGAATACCAGTGATAGAAACAGGCTTAAGGTGGAAATTGAATAGGTTGGGTAACTCAAAGGACATAGGCATTATAATTTATAGGATTTAACAGTTTAGAATGATAAATTGCACTATTAAAAAATTAGTGTTGGCATTAGTTGATTTATTAAGGTTATTATAGTCAATCAAAAATTTTTCACATTTGTTGACATTTTGTAATAGTATATATTAGATTTTTCGCATAGGTTATCAGGTTTAATGTTAATAAATGGGGTTCACTCAACTGAATTAGATAATATTTATTATGTTTCAGGTTAGGACGAGACAACTTTTTAGTTTATTATATTCATAAAATATTATTAGTGATGTAGAAAATTTTAAAATTTATTTTTTGGGAATTATTATGCATAATTTATACATACATATAATTATTTTTTTTATTTTGACACAAAAAGCCAAAAAAGTTAGAAATTTACTCCAACACAATTTTTTTTAACTTTTTCAGCTTTTTAAAAAATACCTTAATTGGAAAACTTTTTTAACTTGGATTTTTTTTGCAGAAAGGTATTCACCTAAAAAAGTCAATTCCAAACAAATTGTCTTTCGATTTCTCTTTATTCAAATATTATGACTAATCTCAAAAATTGCACCACTAGGTATGAGATGACTTGACAGTTGATGGTTGGTTCTTGCAAAGAAAATCAAAGACCGGAGGAACTCTGGTGATCGATCTTGTAATGATAAAATCAACGAGGGTGTAATTGATTGAATTGTATTGAGGCGAAAGAAGATTATTTACTTGGCTCATGGCTAGCATGATCCTTTTATAAGCCGTGCAAATTGTGCCATTGAAATCCCTCAACTGCTTTTTGAATGATGCAACGAGTAAAGTGGAGCACTCTCCAAAAGCGTTGCAACTGGATTGAGCTACTTCCCTGGGATACGGGCGAGCAAGCTAATAGGTGGTGGTTGCTACAGCCTTCTTATTATGGAGATCTCACGTGCGTAGCTGGATACCTGGCTCACATGCCAAGCTCTTTTGCCCGTGCTCAACTCGTGACCAATTCATGCTCATTAATTATAATAATTATTATCTTAATAATAGTTTATCAATTTATTTAACGAAAAAACCATTTGACAATATTTTTGTGGAGAGTGCTATCGTACCGAGGAAAAAAAATCAGAATTAACTACCATATATAACATTTTTAAAAATTTGTACAATCTTCTAGGATCTTAAAACTTTTTGGAGTTTTGTAATCAATCCTAGTATTTTAGGATCATAAAATTATTAAAATCAATCACAATTTCCCAAAAAATTATAATTTCAATACAAAAATATGTACTTTTGATCTTAATTTTTTTACTTGTAATTAAATTCCAAAAACTTATATGTTAGCCCACAAAAATGATAAACTTCAATACCTACTGAAGTCAACTCCTATTTTTACCCCCAAAAAAAAAATCATATTTTTTTATTTGTTTCACATAGAGCAGCCGCATGAATCATACGTTTGAGTCCTGAGCAGTGTAATCCACGTTATGGAGATGAGCGTGGGGGTAGCACACCGGACCGTTCAATTAGATTTTATGTTCTCTTTCTGGTTAGATTTTTTTGTCTTGTGTGTCGGTGCCATGAAAACTTCTTAATTTATCCAAAAAAGAAAACGTGAACGAAATTATGGAGGTTGGCTCACACCACGTGGAGATACTTCGATACTTCCCCGAAATCTTAAGGGAGAATCGAATGGAGGAAAAAATGAATAATAAATTTAAATATTTTAAGTTGAAAATTTAATAATTTTATTAGGATTAAATTATATAAAAATTATAAATTATGATTTTTTAAAATTTTAGAGTGGATAGTCTGTTTTTGATTAAATTAAAAAAAAATTAATCAAAATATACATAAATTAACATAAACACATTAATCATAATAATAATAATAATAAAAAAAAGATACTTCCCCGCAACCTCCCATGTGATATGATCGTTTTATATGACTTTTTAAGTTTGTGAAATTAACCTCATCTTTCTTTCTAGTTCTCATATGCACATGGAATGGAGTAAAGTAAAAAATAATTCTAAGGGTTAAATCAACTGGAAACAGGAGTGAGATGTAAATTTAGATATTTTGAATTTAAATATTAATAATTTATTGGTCAGATCATGAGAAATTTATCCCTCATAAATACTATAGTCCTAATGTAAAAACTTGTATTTAACTAGATTGAAGAGAAATTTAGTCGAAGTGTACATAAGTTAGTCCAAATCCTCTTTGACGAACCCAGATCTACCTGGGTCAAGCACATCACAATTTTTCAAGTAGGCCCAAATCAACTAAAAAGATCAGTCAAGTCCGTCTGGTGAAATCAACTCAATCTAAAGCCCAATGAGTTCAACAAGATTAGGGCACATAGGGAGCAATTATCAAGATACCCACTTTCGAAGATCAAGACAACATTTAATTGTATTTATCTTTTGTAGTTTCCATTCCCGAAGAATTAGTACATTTACCCTCGCGTCACCGCCTCACCTAAAAGCTTTGTATCTAAAAATTATAAGCTAACTCCACATGAGAGGGGCACATTTTTACACACTCGTCACATAACTTTTTCTCTTTCCTAGCCATCATATCTCTCTCTAAACTAACTTTTGTTTTCTCTCCCTCTTACTTTACTTTACTAATTGATACACACGTGCGTTGCACTTGAACCATGTCGTTTGATCATTTAAAAATTAAATTTTTTAAATTTTTCTCATGTATCATTGTTTTTAGAATTTATTATAGTGCGATGCATGAAAGTCTTCTTATAAATACTGCATACTAATATACTATGATAGAAAAAATGCTAGTTAAAGATGACCAAGAAACTATGGGAACCGATGCATAGTGTCATCATAGAGACATAAAACCACGTGAGTTGATATTTAAGCATCTCGCTGTTGATATTTTGAAGACGACCCAGATACATTACCCTTGTAAACAAATCATACACGGATAGATATAAGCACTGATACTTCACAGAACAGAACTGATATAATCAAAGAAGTGGCCATCTGCTTCACCAAAACTTGGCCACCAGAACTCTGCCCTCTGCCCATCTCTGCTGTCCTCAATGAAATTTTGAAGCTTCTGTGGTAGATCATTCTCCCCAATCAGTTGATTTGGACGTGGGTGATGCTCATAGACAGCCTGAAATAAATAAATTTTGAGCAATTTAGTTTAAGAAAATAAATAGGAAATTAACATTTGAGATGTTTGTGTGCTGTACCTCGTGTTTGGATGATGCAGAGGCTTGGTGCATTGTGAAATATCAATGTCCTGTAATTAGAAGTTGTTGCTTCGAAAAAGTAACAAGAAACCCTTCTCAAGCATTTTCAGTTGCAAACATAATCTAAATTTCATCCAAAAACCAACAGTTTACATTGTTTCAATGTTTGCTAAAAACAATAGATTGTTGCTTGCATCAAGTGTAACCAATAATCAATAAAACCATATGAGTTTGATCCAAAAAAACATTAAAACATGAGGATAATCCATGCTACATCTATGATGTGAGCAATTATTTTCTACGGGTGTAGTGTAATATCAATCTTTCTGACTTTTCAGTCTTTTTCCTACTGGTTCTTCATCAATTTCAGAACCTTCAATTTTCTCTACTTCTTGTGCAACAAAGCGTCCTGTTTCTCGGTCTTTATCATCCAATTTGCGCACCCTTATGAAAAATTTGAAGTATTGTCCACTACACAAGATCAGTTTCCTATAGAACTTGCATTGCCTCTTTATCTGTCACATTATGTGAATAACGTCAGTAATTTGGTAGTATGTACTTAATGGTTTTTTTTTCTTACCCGTTTTTTGGATTCGGCAAATTCAGCAGCTGGACACCCGATAAGAGTTTCTGCTGCATCGAACAGGCTAACAAGTGCGCTTTCATCTCCATCTGGGATGACAAGCTTTAACCACTTCAATACAAAAAAAGAATAAAAACTACCCACAAAAAGGAAAAAAGTTTATAATTAAACCATTTATAATCCAAGAAATAATTCAAAAAAGATCTACAGACGAATTGAAAAGGTACATCAATCAACAACAAAAGTGTAAACAATATGCTGAATAAGTGAAAAAGCATAAACAAATAATATAAACAATACAGATGTAGAGAGGAAATTTAGTGTACGATGATTAAGTACCTGTTTGAGCGGCACACTATTGATTTCGGATGCCAATACACACGGTGTTTGCGCTGGATTTTTCTGTGAAAGTTTAATGTTATGGGCGTCCGTTATGATGTTAAAATAAAAAACAGAGATGTATTTGCAGTAGAGAAAATCTTAACGGATATATCAGTGGAAGAACAATGTACCAAGAAATAAGCGGCTGGTTCCGAGATCGGTAGACGGACAGAGTGTTGAGTTACAATGTAGAGAGGGAAAACATGTAGAGCGATTCAAATGGCAGTTTGGAGTATTGAAATTGCGTGAATTGAAATCTGCTGTAGGCATTGCAACTTCATGCATTAAGTCCCAGAATGCGTACAGGCGGCAGGGATAATGGCGGCAGACGTTGAGATGCCGTAAAGAGAGATTTGAATGCGTAGAGTAACGCATACTTTAAGCGGCAGAGAAAGAGAGAGAAGGAAGGCAGATGGTTTTTGGTGGAGGAAAGAAGAGGGAGAAAGAGGTTAATTTGGGTGGGTTATGGGAATTTATTTGCAGGCCGGGTGGGGGGTTTCAGAAGAGTAGAAGAAGAGAGAACAGTGGAAATAGAGTGGGCTGGGGCAATTTAGAAGATGGTAAATAGGATTAATTATAAAGTATACCCTTGAACTTTGGATATTATTATAATTAACTCTCTAAGGTTTCAATTTCAACAACATTCTCCCATTAATTTTCAATATTTTTTAATTAACACATTCCGTCAGTTTTTAACCACCAAAGGTAATCAAATTTGTTCATGTGAAAACTTTGAGGGAATAATAATTTATTGAAATTGAAACCTATAATAGTTAATTGTAGCAGGACCCATAGTTGGGGATGCTAATTTGGAATTAATCCTAATGAATACCCATTTGGCCGGATGTTTTTCTTTGTTGGATAAAATGGTACTGGGAAGTTGGATCCTAAAAAATACAGAATGAATGTGGCATTATACAAATAGGGTTAATTATAAATTATACCCTTAAACTTTGGATATTATTATAATTAACTCTCTAAGGTTTGAATTTCAACAACATTCTCCCATTAATTTTCAATATTTTTCAATTAACACATTCCGTCAGTTTTTAACCGCCAAAAGTAATAAAATTTGTTCATGTGAAAACTTTGAGGGAATAATAATTTATTGAAATTGAAACCTACAATAGTTAATTGTAGTTGTACCCATAGTTAAGGGTGCTGATTTATAACTTATCCTAATGAATACCCATTTGGCAGGATGTTTTACAATGTTGGACAAACTGTCACTGGGAAGCTGGATCATCAAAAATGCCGGATGAATGTGGCATAATACAAATGTTAGAGGGTATTTACGGAAAAAGATTATTTTTTGATTTAGTAGGCTTTTAGAAGTAGTATGGATATAGATACAGATACAGATATAGATATAGATATAGATTAGCCACCGTTGCATTTTTTCAGAATAGAGTAGGTCATCCAAACCGAACCACTATAGATCTATGTGTTGATATAATATTTATTTTTTTGTCATTGATTGTTTTATTAATTGTCTCATTAATTCTCTTGCATCATTCACTCGATTGTTAATTGTGTATAAGTTTGTTTTATGCATCGTCACTCAGTAGAGTAATGTATTAATTTCGTTGGTTTGCTCCTTGGGGAGATTTAGTTAGGTGTACTCACGAGGAGGCGTTTGGTTCAAGTATTAGATTTGATGCGTGTAGATTTTTCTCATCCAACTTATTCTCTCTTTCAATTGGATTATGCGATGAACTTTCATATCTGTGACATTTAGGGTTTGTTTTGATAGATTTTTGGGAGGGTTTGTATTAGGTTTTTCAAATTTTTTTAAATTTAAACTCTTTTTAACAAAAAAATAAAATTTAACATTAAATTCGGTTCATACTCATAATTGATACGCAACACATACACATGTATCATTTTTGCACGGGAAATGAAGTGTGTCAATAATAGTCTTAGTATCATTTTTATGTTTGACACTTTATATGTACTATCTCCGTTTATCATTTTTATGCTTGACACTTTATATCTACTACCTTCGTTTAAAATTAGGTTTGACAACTTGTAATTTTCAAATATCAGAAATAATTTGGCCATTTTACATCTGGTAATGCCAGTCAGATAATCTGTGTGCCAAACAATCCTTACATAGCCAAAAATATCGTTTCTTTTCTAAACCATAATTACATACGTTTGTATAAATAAGTATTGAGTATGAATTTCCTTACATCAGCTTTAATTAAGGATGTCTGAAATCGTAATTCCTATTAGAATAATATGACAGGGAAGAACATAACACTAGCAGGGGAAAAAATCGAGAAATATGTATTGTATTGATCTGGTACTATAGCTAATAAAAATTACAATTTAATGAGGTTATCGAGCTCATAGTTGCTAACAAATAAAGCCAAAAAATTTGGAACGAAGCTTTAAAAAATGAGATTGATCTTAAGTTTTTAAGGTTGATCACAAATCGACAAGATTTGAGGATGCGTAAATTGGCTTTGCACATCACATGTCAAGTAATTAATGATAAATGCAATAAATAAAGTAAAGAGAGAGAGAGAAAGAAGACAAGATTTATAGTGGTTCGATCATCGTGACTTACGTCCACTTTAAATGACTAGGGTCGCGCGAAGTATTTTATTACTTCAAGGGTGTAGAGAGAACAAAGAGTTACAAGCTTAGAATGATAGAAGAGAGTTGTACTCGACTGAGTGTGATGTCCCCTAAATGTTGACGAGATTTACAATTTATAGTCTCCTCAATAACAGATTGGAGCGAGTTGTTAATAACCAAGTGACTATTCTAGTGGAAGTGACGATCTCTTATCAACGGACGAGACAGTTATGTTGCTCTCCATGAGATTCGATCAAATGATGAGGTGGATGTTGACTTTTTCCAAGGTGGTGCGGAGGCTCTTGGATGACTTTACATGCTCCTCTACTGCCGTAGTCACTTGAACTTGATAAGCTTAACCTGATGTGAATAGTTTTTGGCTGAACTGTTAAACTCTTAATTTAAACTATGCTTACATTGTGAGTTGGCCCTTTAGGTTTAGCCTATTAAAATTGAATCGGAAATTAATATGTATGAATCATCACTCGATATGATTAGTTAATAATATTAAATAAAAAAAAGTAGTAATTTTCTAGAGAGTAGATTTGAATTACATCATCCCTCACCAAAGCTACACATCCATAAGTGGCCAAGACATCCTCACATGCATTAGTCTCTCCCATGTTTCTCCTTGAGATTCACCTCCTCCTAGAGACACCATACATTTAGAAGAACAATGCTACATGAATTTAAAAATTAAACTTAATAATCTCAATCATTGAATTTATTGTGGGTCCCAACATTTATTGGGACCTACTACCTATTCAATGATTGAAATAATCAAGTCTAATTTTTAAGTTCATCTAACATTACTCTATTTAGAATACATTCGATCATAACTATCTTCTCTTTTTAAAACTCTTATGTATAATAATTCATTTAATTCAATCATGTCTCTTTTTAATTTTTAATAGACATAATTGAATTACGGATTTACGATTTCAAACACATTATAAACCATTACTTTAAAGTTTAATCGTTAATTTTAAATCAAAATTTCTATTGTCTTAATGCATATAAAATGCAAAAGAAAAAAAAACATTCTTATTAATTGATATGACTTCAAAAAAATAAAAATGTATTTTCTTAAATGATTGAGAATTGTTGAAATTGAACATATTTCAAGCACATAATTATTAAGAGATTCGGAATGAACACAATCAATCACATCAAATCAGATACGAGTTTTACTAATAAGATTCACTAACCCATTGTTATAAAAAGAAAAATACTATGTTGTCTCTCTCTAAACCAGAAGAAACCATTTTTTAATGAGGAGGGAGAAATATAACAAGAGCTCGTGGATATGCGTGCGTAGGGATTAGGCATTTCATTTTCACACGAATATTGTACTATTATTGAGAGGCCCTGACCCACGTGTGTATGAGAGATGGACAGCTCATTGCTGTTCACATCAGATCATCTGACACGGTTTCACAGAGCAATGACAACACTTGCACAATCACACTCTTCAAAGGAGATTTCAAAGCACTAACCATACTCAAACATGTATATTTGTACCACTTTCTGTATTTAAGCTACGACGATACGGTCCCTAAATTGGTTTCCAGATTAGATCAAACATAAGCAATCCACTACTTACTCTGCTCCTAANTGCTCACATCAGATCATCTGACACGGTTTCACAGAGCAATGACAACACTTGCACAATCACACTCTTCAAAGGAGATTTCAAAGCACTAACCATACTCAAACATGTATATTTGTACCACTTTCTGTATTTAAGCTACTATGATACGATCCCTAAATTGGTTTCCAGATTAGATCAAACATAAGCAATCCACTACTTACTCTGCTCCTCACTAGTCATCTGCTTACGCGTCTTCTTTTAATAGCGAGTAACTTCCCATTTCCACACACGCGAGAGTCAGAATATGCCATCCACACTTAACGCATTAACGCCAACCCAGAACCTGTCCCTCCCCTTTCTTGCTTTAAATTCCTCTTCCTCCCTAATCACTTCTATCAGATTTTAGAGAGATAGAATTGGAGGAGAAGAAGAAGAAGAAAGGAATTTTTTTAGAGGGGAAAGAGAAAGAGAGAATTGTAGAAGAAGAAGAAGAGAGAGAATNCTATCAGATTTTAGAGAGATAGAATTGGAGGAGAAGAAGAAGAAGAAGAAAGGAATTTTTTGAGAGGGGAAAGAGAAAGAGAGAATTGTAGAAGAAGAAGAAGAAGAAGAGAGAGATTTGGAATGGCGTCGACGGGAAGGGTAGATCTGGACGGAAGGGAAATCAAGGGCATGACGATATGCATGATAGGGGCTGGGGGTTTCATTGGGTCGCACCTGTGCGAGAAGCTGATGTCCGAGACGCCGCATAAGGTGTTGGCGGTGGACGTGTACAATGACAAGATCAAGCAGCTTCTTGAGCCACAAGGTGGAGCCTCTCTTCCCTGGTTCGATCGGATTCAGTTCCACCGCCTGAACATCAAGAACGATTCTCGCCTCGAAGGTCTCATTAAGATGGCAGATCTGGTACATTATGTTTCTCTCTCTTAGATTCTTTCTTGAATTTCTTCATTTTCTTGATGGGTTTGAGCTATCGCATTGCTGTTTCTGTAGCCGTGCATGAGTCTTGTTGTTGAATGCATAAGCTTCTAAGCAGCCTTGTGAATTTTAACCACATTTGGGTGGAACCATCGTTTTCTAAGAAGTTATTTTGAATTGAAAGCTCATTGGATGGAATTTGATTTTAGTGTTGATTTTTACTCCTTTTTTGTTGTTTTAGGATAAAACCCCTCTCTCTCTCTCCTTGACTCCCTTAGATATTGGTTCTTGATGAATTTTGTCGTGTTTGAAGACTTAACTTTCTTTGTGCTGAATTTCTGGTTGATTCTTGTGATGTAGACCATAAATCTGGCGGCAATATGTACACCGGCCGATTACAATACACGCCCTCTTGATACTATCTACAGCAATTTCATTGATGCACTCCCAGTGGTATGCGTTTTGGATTTTATTTACTTAAAGTTTAGGTTTTTATCTAGGTGGTCTATCATCATAGATTCGCTCTTTGTTGTCTTGGTCTAATTGGAGTTGATGTGTTTTTTATGTCAATTTGTTCATTCGGAGTTTTGGTATCGATGCCGAAGTTGATGCGTCATTTGTGGTTATATAGGTGAAGTACTGTTCGGAGAATGGCAAGCGTCTCATTCACTTCTCCACCTGTGAAGTCTATGGGAAAACGATTGGGAGCTTTCTTCCNCGAAGTTGATGCGTCATTTGTGGTTATATAGGTGAAGTACTGTTCGGAGAATGGCAAGCGTCTCATTCACTTCTCCACCTGTGAAGTCTATGGGAAAACGATTGGGAGCTTTCTTCCAAAAGATAGTCCACTGCGTCAGGTAAGACCTCTCTCTCTCTCTCTCTCTCTCTCGCGAGGGATAGAATCTAGATCTTTGGATGCCTGGGTTACTATTNTCTCTCTCTCTCTCTCTCTCTCTCTCTCTCGCGAGGGATAGAATCTAGATCTTTGGATGCCTGGGTTACTATTACGTTGAGTTAGTAGTTTCTTGTGATTGTTAGGTGAATAAATCTCGTTCTTAGATTTGTTTCAATAGTTAATCTTTGGTGGTTGGGAAGAGTGTTGGCCACTTTGTCTCTGTGCTCTGCTTATTTATCAGTCCTCTGGGAATTGTGTCTACTTATGTTTTCTGTCTGAAGGAGCATACTCTTCTGGTAACCAATTACAGCAGCAGCAGCAATCAATAACATTCTGGATTCCTCTTTTCTCTCCTCCTGAGGCGTTGTTTCTAACTGTGTCAGAATATATCTGGTCTTTAGAATTTCTATATTTTGAGTTTTGGATGTGCATTCTGCATTCTGGCTCATGTCCAGCTGTATCTAATGCGAGATTTGTGCAGATTTCAATAAATATCTTATTAACTCTCTTAGACTCCATCTTGAAGCTGAAATGAAATCTAGTGGTCTAGGTGCTGTTGAAATTCCGTGAAGGAAAAGCTGATATCTTTAATTAGGAGTGCAACTTCCACGCTGGGGCTCTCTTAGTTTCAACTGTCATATTGTTTGTTAATCAATTTTCCATTTGAGCATGACGTAAGAAAAGCTTTGATACCAGTATTGGATATGTCACATTAGTAGCTCAGGTAGTTGAAAAACCAACTTGATTCCATGGATTATTTAACCAGAACTTGCATATCACTTGGCATTAAATTAATGCCTTTCTAGTTGAAACCAGAAAAAGTTTAGTAGCATTGCATTTGTCACATTTAGTAGATCAAGTATTTCAAGATCAACTTGATTTTCAATTTCTTAAGTATTTTACGATATTTCATTAGCTGTGGAAGATTTATAATGACATTCTTTCTTTGGAAAAGTTTGAATACTCATCAATGCAACTTATTTATGATTGAAGGAATCCAAGGTTTATTCACATACTTAACTTTGTCAGGTGAACATGGGGTTGGATATATGAATCTCAAAGCTTGTGCATTTAGATATATAATTATCTAGAAGTTGTTTGATCATTTATTCTATAGTGCTTTTAATTGGAGATTGATGTAGGTGGAAAGAGATGTAGGTAAGTTTTACTTTGCTGGTACACATCAGAAGTGACTGTGGTTTATAGCTTCATTAGATCAGAGGATAATATGTTTAAAGATCGTATCTTGAAAGATTTTGATTATATTGTGACACAACAATTAGTTGATGGTGCAAGCCTTGAAAATGTGGGGTGGAGGGTAGAATAGTTGAAACTTTGACATCTAGGTGCTTAGGCTTTATGCTTCAACTCCTCTGAACCAGTNTGACACAACAATTAGTTGATGGTGCAAGCCTTGAAAATGTGGGGTGGAGGGTAGAATAGTTGAAACTTTGACATCTAGGTGCTTAGGCTTTATGCTTCAATATAATCCTTTAAAGTCCCAAGTGTTGTTAGGTGTGGTTAGTAAACACCAGCAACTACCAGGATTTCTCAGTGAGAATTGTTCAATATGCCAATCATGTTGTGGTCCATGGTGTTTGGAGTTAGTAGCCCTAACAGTTGGGCTGGTGCAGTCTTGAAAATAAGGGGGAAGGAGTATACTGTTATATGTGGACTATACAGTGATAGGATTTTCTCCACATGCCGTAACTTGTAATAATCCTGGGATGGTTGGGTTTTGGTCAACTAATTCTTTGTTGTGCTTATATCTGTCCTGCAGCTTTAGTAGGAAATCAGCTGTTTCAAAAGTGGTCTTCTTAAAGCAGTCTTACTCTTGTTTATTCAATATAGGGGGATTCGTGTAAAATGAAAATGGTAAAAAATGAAAAAAAATAAAAGGATAGCTGGCAATGTATCTGTCATTATTTTGATAGGCAATGAGTCCTTTAAAGAAATGCCAACAAAATGCTACACTACCAATAAAAATTATAAGGTGACCAATTCATGCATTGTGTTACTCACCTGTTTATTGGCCAGAATTTTGTTGGGCTCATCTAAGTGGTTCAGCTTCACATGTTGGATTCTCTATGGTGACTTGTCTTGGACTTTCGGTTAAGCGTGAATGGATCACCTGCACATTTTAGACCTTAATTAATTTTCCAGACAGGATATATTTTATGTGATTGATAATTCAGAAAAGATAGATATTTGTGCCTCACAAAGTCTCATCTAAAAGTGCCTACAATTGCTTTTCAGATTTAATCGGATCTTGGGAACTGTTCTTTCATTACATTTGTTGGCAATTCAAGTTTATTTGGTATAGACTATGCATTGTGTTAGAATTTGTGGACTTCCCTATGCTTTCCAATGCTTCCTGAAAAGTTATTTCCTTAGGTATACTCAGAGTGCAACTTTATAGTTTGCTAGGCAAGCTGTATTTGTTTATGCTAGTTTATGAAAATTTTCTTTCTGCTCATTTGTATAGGTTTACTTGTGCGACTTTGAGGCATGATTTTGTGTACTGTATATGCCGATTTACTCTTTCTTTTTTCATGTTAGTAGGAAATGAGAACTGTGGATGCTTACGTTGATACAAAGCTCTTTATCTAAGCAGTCCTGCTAAACTGTTGGAAATGTTCTGAGTCATTATTTATTTAATGGAACAGGATCCGGCTTACTATGTTCTCAAAGAAGACGAATCCCCTTGCATTTTTGGCTCAATTGAGAAGCAGAGGTGGTCATATGCATGTGCTAAGCAATTGATTGAGAGGCTGATATATGGTGAGTAACTTTGTTCATTGATCTGCCTGTTTTAAAATTGGTTCTGTACCAGATTTTTCTCATGTATCTTTATTTTCTCTAGCTGAAGGTGCTGAGAATGGTCTTGAATTTACTATTGTGAGGCCTTTTAACTGGATTGGTCCCAGGATGGATTTCATACCCGGGATTGATGGTCCCAGCGAGGGTGTTCCAAGAGTTCTGGCATGCTTTAGTAATGTTAGTTCAGTTTGTGTCATGAATATAGAACATTTGTTATGTTCTGCTTGCACCAGCTTTTGACTGTTTATTGCTCTCTTTTACTCAGAATCTCCTAAGGCATGAGCCACTCAAGCTTGTGGATGGTGGCCAATCACAGAGAACTTTCATTTATATCAAGGATGCTATTGAAGCTGTTCTGTTGATGATTGTGTGTTCACTCTCTTTTCCTTCAATTTTTTTTTTCTGTGTTTGCATATAGAAGTAGTATTTGAGTGGTGCTTCTTTTCTCAGGAAAACCCAGCTAGGGCAAATGGCCAGATATTCAATGTGGGAAACCCAAATAATGAAGTCACAGTGAGGCAGCTTGCTGAAATGATGACCCAGGTCAATGAGTGATTCTTGCATTAATACATAAATCAATCAACAGTTCATTGTAGTTTTGTGTTGTTTCTTTGATACTAGTTTTTGAAAGCTATTCTTGTATTTTGGCAGGTGTATTCAAAAGTAAGTGGAGAGCCTTCTCTGGAAGTTCCTACAGTTGATGTAAGCTCCAAAGAATTTTACGGAGAAGGGTACGATGACAGCGACAAGAGAATACCAGACATGACAATAATCAATCGACAACTTGGTAACTACCTTGTTTCCCCCTTCCCGTTGCTTAATAATTTTGTGTTGTTTCCGAGGGTTGAAAATATTCTGACAATTTTTTTCGTGGGATTGGCAGGTTGGAACCCAAAGACATCGCTTTGGGACTTGCTTGAATCCACCCTTACCTATCAACACAGGACGTACGCCGAAGCTGTCAGGCAAGCTATCTCAAAACCAGTTGCAAGTTGAGGAAAAGAGGTCCTCTCTTTGGTATGCTGTTGCTTGGCATGGAAGGTGTTACTATTCTTTTCAAGGAGGTCTTAAATGTATCTCTCTACATATGGTTTATTCTTACACATTGAAAATTTTGTCTGTAATTTCTATCCGGATACGATACTAGATGATTCTGTTAGGGAAAGTTCATATGTTGCTGTAATGCGTAAACAGGAGTTTTTGTTACCATATTGTGGGCATTATTATACGTGGAAAGCTGTTCTGTTGAGTGTTTTTGTTGTAGTTCATCTTCGTTCCCTTTGTGCTCCTTTAAGGGAGCAGCGGGGGTTGTATTATTTTGCTGGACATGTTCAGGCTTCTGTTTCCTGATTACCTATTTTTTTAATCTTTAGTGCTTGGTAGTCTTTCTCCCTATCTTTTGTGGACGAGATGAAAAACAAGTCACTAATGTTGACATGCAAAAAGTGAGTGGGCAAAGAAGCGTCAGGCCGGATTAATAGAGCTGCTGACATCAATTTCATGACCCATTGCGAAGATATGAAGGTTTTCAACAACGCTAAGCACCCAAAAAAAGTTTACAGTAATATTGCATACATCATTTTTACGCACCACCTCAATATAAATTGTTAAATTAAATTAATAGATCCCACAAAATTTATTAAATATCTAATAATTTTGATTGTACCACATCATCTGATATTAGGGGCGGAACATAAATTTTGCTCAGGTTGGACANATATAAATTGTTAAATTAAATTAATAGATCCCACAAAATTTATTAAATATCTAATATTTTGATTGTACCACATTATCTGATATTAGGGGCGGAACAGAAATTTTGCTCAGGATGGACATTTTAATTATGCACTCTAATTTTTTTCCTTCTAACCAATCACACTATATAACATATTTATATTTATTATATTACATTTAATATATGAAATCCATTTAACATAAAAAATTCCAAAAAAAAAAGTATATTGTCAGGGGCAGAGCCATGAATATCTATGATAGAGGCAAAATATAACTGGTATAAAAAAATATTAAGCCGAAATTAATACAAAAAAATTCAGTTCAAGAATAAAAAAAAAAATAAGAATCAACACTAAATTATTGTGAAATATTAAATTCAATTTTTATTTAGCCGAAACAAAATCTTAGCAAAAAGACACAAAATAATTTTTTTAGTACATTTTAATCTAATTATATATTTCAATAAAATATAAAAAAATTTAAAATCTCTAAAATTTTGTATATGAATTAAATGTAAATTAATTTTCTTATTTTATTAGATTATAGACTACTATTACTAAAAAAATAGTAAATGAAAACTAAAAATTATTCTTAAAAAGTAACGAACATTGTGTTTGGTAAAGAGAAATATTGTATTTTCATCAATATACAAATAAAACATTAACTCAATCCAAAACTAATATATTTATTTTTGAGGGTTAGTGGTCTACTAATTTATTAAAAAAAAAAGTAGAATCATTATTAAAATTTCTAAAAATTTAGGGGGTAAATATAATGTATAAAATAATTTTATAGGTTGGTACAAGGAAGGACAAAAAAACTCAAAGGAATTGAGCTTCTCGTGTGTTGAATTTTTCTCTGTTTCTTCTCTTTTTCTTGTGGATGGGTAGTGGACAACTAGGAGTGAGTGATACAGAGAGGAAAAAAAAAAGGAAAGATAAGATAGGTTTTAGTCAAGTGGACCAAAAGTTTTTTTTTTTAATGTTGGGCCAAAAATTTTGTTTTTAATATNTATTAAAATTTCTAAAAATTTAGGGGGTAAATATAATGTATAAAATAATTTTATAGATTGGTACAAGGAATGACAAAAAAACTCAAAGGAATTGAGCTTCTCGTGTGTTGAGTTTTTCTCTGTTTCTTCTCTTTTTCTTGTCGATGGGTAGTGGACAACTAGGAGTGAGTGATACAGAGAGAAAAAAAAAAAAGGAAAGATAAGATAGGTTTTAGTCAAGTGGACCAAAAGTTTTTTTTTTAATGTTGGGCCAAAAATTTTGTTTTTAATATTGGGCTAAAAATTTTATTTTTTTAATAGGTTTTGAGTGGATTGTGATAGGTCAAATATTTAATTTTTTAATAAGTTTGGATAGATAATAGTGAGTTCAATTTTTTTTTGTTTTAAATGGACTTAATTTTTTAATTATTTTGGATAAATAATGTGGGTCTAACATAAATGAGGAGTCACACATAATATATATATATAAATATATAATACATATATTTAACTAATAAAAAAAAAAATTGAGGAGGGCACGTGCCAAACTTGGCTCCTACCTCCCTCCGCCTATGTCTGATCTAAGAAAAATGGTACACAAAAATAATATGCACAGCATTATTCAAAAGTTTTTCACTTTGGCTCGTGTTCATGCTAGTCCGGGGCGGGGAAATAATTTGGTACCCCTCTNTAAAAAAAAAAATTGAGGAGGGCACGTGCCAAACTTGGCTCCTACCTCCCTCCGCCTATGTCTGATCTAAGAAAAATGGTACACAAAAATAATATGCACAGCATTATTCAAAAGTTTTTCACTTTGGCTCGTGTTCTGACTAGTCGGGGGCGGGGAAATAATTTTTATGTCTCGGTATCATATCGAAAAACAAAAAATTATTATAAGAGGTTGTAAGTTTTTTTCCCCCAAAATGGTAAGCTTCGGTTAAAAATGTGGTAAATAAATCCGAAAATGTGAGTGCACACCATAAAAATTGGTAAGTTCCACCCAAAGGTGGTATAAATATCCAAAAAAAACAAAAAAAAGAGTGATTTTTTTAAGTGCGGTAGTGAAACCCTACTTGCCCTACTTCCATTATAGTATCAAAAAATNATTATTATAAGAGGTTGTAAGTTTTTTTCCCCCAAAATGGTAAGCTTCGGTTAAAACTGTGGTAAATAAATCCGAAAATGTGAGTGCACACCATAAAAATTGGTAAGTTCCACCCAAAGAAGGTATAAATATCCAAAAAAAAACAAAAAAAGAGTGATTTTTTTAAGTGCGGTAGTGAAACCCTACTTGCCCTACTTCCATTATAGTATCAAAAAATACTTTTCAATATTGTATTCCCATTTTTTCGATCATAAAATAACATTGTGTATAATTAGGTATTTCAATAGATTAGATTTTGATCTAAAATCAGATCTGATTAACGAAATATAGATTGATATTTTTTAATGATTATTTGAACCCGAATCCAAATTTGATATCTAATATTTATGTGGATTTGAATTTTGATATATCTATATCCGATATGATCCGAAATATTTTATATATTTTTGTATAAATATTATAGAAATTAAGTGATTATGTGAAGAAATTTAGTTAAAATTTATAGATAATTTAATAGAATTTAGTTAAATTAAGCTAAATCGGATCATATCGAATTTCAAATTGTTAACGAATTCAAATATCACTCAGAAAACAAAAAGTCGTAGGATTATTGAATCGAATTTGNATTTGAATTTTGATATATCTATATCCGATATGATCCGAAATATTTTATATATTTTTGTATAAATATTATAGAAATTAAGTGATTATGTGAAGAAATTTAGTTAAAATTTATAGATAATTTAATAAAATTTAGTTAAATTAAGATAAATCGGATCATATCGAATTTCAAATTCTTAACGAATTCGAATATCACTCACAAAACAAAAAGTCGTAGGATTATTGAATCGAATTAGGATCAAAATTCCAAAGTCAGAGTCAAATTCGAATTAGTCAAAAAAATTGATCCAAACCTAANGGATCAAAATTCCAAAGTCAGAGTCAAATTCGAATTAGTCAAAAAAATTGATCCAAACCTAATCCATTGACATGTCTATGTATAATTTTGTTATTTTGTGATTCTTTATTAATTTATTATATTTTCAATTAGTAATTATATATCATTTAATTTAAAATTAATGACTGAGATTAATGTAGATACAATACAATAAGCTTGTTCGTCTAGTCCAAGTAATTGAACTTTTCAATATTCCTCTTACTTAGGAGCGTCAATTTTAGTCATTGACACGAATACAAACCCAATTCGTCACAAAACTTAAAAATGACATGAATAATTTACACAAATAATAAATAAGTTAAATTAATGTTGCACGCAAATAACATGATTAACGGCAAATTAATGTTGCACGCGAATAACATGATTAACGGCGAGGACAAAACAAGAATTGTATTGTGGAGAACCAAAAAAGGGACATGATTAAAAAAAATTAATAGGATTATTCAACGTGTTATTGTTAAAGTTGGATATTTAGTTACAATGAATCTCTAAATTTTTTTTATGATACAATTGTTAATATTAGTTTGGATCATAAAATCTAAAAATTAATTTAAAATAATATCATGGTCTACTTGTTCCCTCATTTATAACATCAAATAATCACTACGAATAAATTACCTTCATAAATATTTTTTTCTCTTTACCATCGTGAAGGTGACACAGTTTATGATGTATAAAATTTTTGGAAACCTAAGATAAGGTATAAAATTTTTGAAAACCTTACGGGAGTAAAAGGCATTTTCAAAAATATGAGGGGGGGCAATGAAAATAAAAAATATGTATTTTATAATTTTTTACCAAATTGGAACAATTTGATTAGGAATATAACTAATAAATAAGACACAAATCATAAACACAATATAGCGAGTCAAAACATAAGATTTAACACCAAAACAAAAAATCTAGCCTTTTAAAAATGAGGTGGGGGAGGGGTATAAACCTTTCTTATAAGAGGTAACACAATTTAGAAAAAGTTTAGCTTGAAAAACCAGGCCAATCTCTGTGCAATCAACATAGTTTTAAAGANTATAAACCTTTCTTATAAGAGGTAACACAATTTAGAAAAAGTTTAGCTTGAAAAACCAGGCCAATCTCTGTGCAATCAACATAGTTTTAAAGATAAATTAGATTACGAAATAGTTTGAAAAATCAGGTCAATTTTTGTTGTTACTGTGATCGTGTGTCTATCTAGCTCATGTCATTGTCTAGTTTTGTAGAATTTTGACAGTGATTGTTGCTATTACTATGATCATATNGATAAATTAGATTACGAAATAGTTTGAAAAATCAGGTCAATTTTTGTTGTTACTGTAATCGTGTGTCTATCTAGCTCATGTCATTGTCTAGTTTTGTGGAATTTTGACAATGATTGTTGCTATTACTATGATCATATTAATCTCTAGTCCATTATCACTCTATGTTTCAACCCTGCTAAATTTCATAGCACCTCCATTTTCAACCATCGCTTCTTATTTAAAAATCAAAATTCTGACCTATTACAATCCACCAAAATCTATTTAAAAAAATAAAACTTTTGGCTCAACATT